GTAGGCGGAGGTAAATCTGGGCGTCCAGGTTACTCGTGTGGTCGGCTGAGGAGCACTAGCACAGGGTGATGAGTTAAACACCTTCAGCGGTTACGCGCCAAGCTATCTTTCGCTTACAGACTGGGCAAGAACGCTGCTTGGCGCTGTCCATGGTCTCTTTCTGGATTTATCTATTCATATGGACCGACAGTGACTCCAACAGAAATTGAAGTCTTTGCATGCTTTTTAGACTGCCGGGGCTCGAATCGGCAATGGAGCAAATGACGGCAGATGCTAAACTGGTGGTTAGCTCTGTGGAATTGCAGTAATTATAAGACATTGGCGAATGTATTCACTTCCTATATCTCTTTAATGTGTATGCTCTGTCTTTGGTTTTATTCTTAAAAAGTTGCAATTTTTTCGTGATTAATACTGTTTCTATCTCTTCAACTCTTTATCCTTAAGATGTTCGATCAACTGCTGGCAGAGGTGGACTGACAAAGGATGAGTCAAACACGAGCAGAGCATTTGCTTTCTACGCGACAGAACATTTTCATCTTATTGGTCATTATCACCCACATTGTGCAAGGTTTTTAAAGGGGCCCTATTGTGCTTAATTTTTTTAAAGTTTCATATCTCGCATTTAGTGTCTTCTACAGTGAATATACGAATTGATTTATTTACAAACAAGGATTAGGCCAAAAGGCTAGTTTTCATCGATAGTTTGCCAGACGGTGATAGACATCCTTGAAAATGTCAAATAATAACTAAATAAACACAACATTGTCAACACAGTGACCATGTCTCCATGCCTTATAATGTTCAAAAACGCCCTTTAACTTATCCTCATACCATCCTGTGCTGCAGCAGCCCTCTTTTTCACCTCTGTCTGAGGCCTAGAGTCACCCTCCCTTTTCGCTCCAATGCTGGCCCTCCGCGCCGGACCTTACATTTCTCAGCCTGGCATTAACGGCTCCTACCACGACACGGTGGCCTCGTTGTCGCTTGCAGGCGGGGGAGGGGCATGAAAACTCGACGACCAACAACCAAATCACATGAATCTCGCGCGCCCAGACACACGAAGCACGCGGTATGATTGGCTAGAGCTTGCACTGCATATACATTCAGATTGGCTTATGACACCTCCGTCGAGAGGCGGCAAAAGTAGAACATTGCTCTACTTTTGCAGCGAGCACCGCAAGAGAAGCTACGCTTTGCTCCCACAATGCAGTTTGGCGAATCGAGACGTCACCCCATTCAAAGTGAATGGGCAGAAGCGGCAACGCACGCCGCCGTGTGTAGGGGCCGTAATAGTGTGATAAACTTAATGACAGGTTAGAATAATACTCAATATTTGAACTGTGGTCCTAAATGAACAAAAAATAAACTGCATTAAAAGACACCGCTACAGATCACAGATTATTTTGTAATTTTGAAGAACTGGCCCTTTAAGT